GCAAGCTGCTAGCAAATCAGGGGCCGAAAGGTTTTCCAGCCCTCAAAAGGAGAAATGGCACTTCCCCAAGAAACCAACACCACCACCACCAAACGGAGGAGGTCATTTCCAAGCTTCCATTTCCCCAGAAACCTACCTAACCAAGCAGGCCATAATGGAAACCAATTCTAGCCAACAAATTTCTCATTTCTTTCCGTTTTTATAAAACCTAGAAATGAAGTTGAGTAAGAAGTGATACTAAACAGGCCATCACAAGTATTAGTCCAGATTTTTCTACATAATAGATAAATAGCAACTATACATGGGGATCAGAAAATGCATTAAAATAAACTTTGGTGAGAAAAAAGTTACAGAAATTACACATTATCAAACTAAACTTACAGCAGCACATCAATTTTCTGCTCCAGGCTCCAAGTCTAATCCTCTTCTGTGCTTGCCATTCATCATAATCCTAAAAATATAGAATGCCACTATTGCACCACTGCACATGGAACCTTGTTATCAGAAACAGGCCTTTGTAAACTATAATTGCCTAAGAATTATATTCTATCTTGTGAGTTAGAAGGTTCTTTCATCTCGGCATGGTGGGTATTCCTAATTTGTACAAATCAAACAGCAAAAACATTTTTTTTTTTAAATTCAAGTAACAGAGCTTAGCAGCACTCTCTAGGTCTTAACGCAACCTATCAATTCCATGCTTATAAAACATCTGGTTAAAAAGTAAGAAAAATCATGAACCTGACTGAGGTTGTAAAAAAGATGGGCAAAGATAGTTCCTGAAAAAGGAAACAGAAAAAGAAAATTCATATGTTGATGGAGAATTATTAAAATAATAAGAAATAAAACGGTCATAATTAAAAAGCAAACCTGAGACAGGAAGCATAACTCTCTCAAAAATATGATAGCTGCTATGGCTGCAGACAATACAAAGCAGTTATGATATGGAATCAAGTAAACATCTTTTCTATAAATATATATGTAGAGAGAGAGAGGAGGGATCCATATATAAACAAGTCTTACACACCACATTTACACAAAATCTTGACCATTCATCTCTCCACTTTCAATGGTTGAGATTTATCATAATTTTTTAGATGAAAAAGATAATTATCTTTAATAAATATAATAAAAAGTGAATAAATCTCAACCATTGAAAGTGAAGAGATGAATGATCAAGATTTTGTGTAAGACTTGTGTGTAAGTGGATCCTTACTCACACACACAGAAGGACCAATACACATTAGAACTTCAAAACCCAAAGGTCCATCAGACTTTCTAGGGGTAGAATTGCATTGCTTCTACGCTTGTAACATGAATTAAAAACACAAAATGGCAGAACTGCATATGAGTAATAACGTAATAGTTTTTCTCTGCATGCCAAAAACCCCTTTTAAATGGAAGCTTCTTCTGCAATCCTAAAGAAACGTTTACTTCTCTATTGTGGATAAAAAGTGGTCTACTTCAGTCATTGAAAGAAAATTATGCTAAAAGGTCCTAGAAGATTATGTAATAAACCATGTAATTAAATGTAAAAGTGATGTGAAATTCCATTAAAAAAAGAGCAGTTATTGCCGGCCTATAAGATAATATGAATTAAAAAAAAAAAAAATTGTGATGAATGGTACACATTTGTCTCCTGTATAAGTTCAATTATAGTAATGAAATATTTATCTACCTGCTTGTCCTTTTAGGGCCAGTGCAGAACGCTTTCCTCTTCTATACAATCTTAAACTTGATATGCTTAGTGCCAACAAAGCTCCACCCAGAATAACACCAAACCTAATGGCAGAGAGGCTGCCTGTTATCATGAAGGAAAGGAAGCCACCAACAGAAAGAAGCAAACCTGCAAAACAAAAGCAACTAAATGACAACTAGTTTACCATGGATCACAATTTAGTCTGCCAAAAATAAAAAATAAATAAATAAATAAAAAGCTAAATAGTAGCCATAAGTTTACAATCAAGCTTTTTAGCATGCTGATAGAATGGAAGTATATTTTTGCATCAGAGATATTAAGTGACTTTGCTATTAATCTCAATGTTTCCAGATCAAATTTAAAAATAAAAGGAGAATTATTCGTCTTTATGACCATACAAAAAGCAATGTATTACACTTCAATTACTGCAGTCAAATTTTTTATAGGCAGTGAGATATATTACCATACCAAGAAATTTTCCCAATAAAATTCCTTCATCCATTACACATACCATACGGTATTCCAAGGTGAAAGTCATGAAGTTTAGAAACGTTATAGAAATCAACAGTTGAGGAAGAAAATGTCTCCACAATCTCCTTCACTGGTTCAGGGTAGTTCTCAGCTGCTGTTGAGATATACTCTATCCCCTCTTCACTGATTTCTATTAATGCCTCAATCAAATCATTTCTGGCCCTTTCTGCTTGAATTTTTAGCTGTTCCGAAGTTTCCTTCAAAATGATCGTTGCTTTCTTGTAGTATATCTCATATGCTTCTTGAGACACACTTTGCATCTTCAATGCTTGCTCTTTAAAGGAAGCTAGAGTCTGTTTCCATGCTTCTTCAGATTCTTCAGCTAGGAACTTGAGATCTTCTTTTTCCTTCTCCACCTCAACTTCTGAATGCGTCTGATAATCAAAAATAAAAACAACACTCTTACTTCAGACAATAAAGGAAAAAAAAAAAGGATTATGACATCAAACGAATCTAACAACCAAGAGAGAAAATGAAAATTCATTTCATAACAATGTTGTATATCACAATGAGAATGAGACTGAATATAGAAAACAGTAAAACCCTCCTAAATGTTACATCAATGTCTAATTGAGCTGCAATTATACCGATTCAAACTCAAACAGAATTGATTGGTAATCATAAATGCAATAGCTTCCTCATTCCCTAAATACTTCCTAAAAACATGCCTTGCCTACTGAACAATGAAACTGAACCAAGCAAGACAAATAAGCAAACCTCTATCTTCTCGCAGTTCCTCTCCATCGAAAATGCAAGGTTACAATTAGCAGAACTGAAGAAGAAAATAATAAAATTCCGCGTAAAAGAAATGGATTTATTTTTAACTCACAGGCTCTTCATGTGAAGCTGCAAAGGCTACAATCGATTGATTAAACGAAATCCGCCTATCAAGATAACGAAAATCAACGCCAAGTCCTCTCGGAGTAAGAAGAACACTCCGATGCGAGGAAACGGAGACTCTGCAAGCAGGAGGCCTGGCAAGAGACTCGAACCGCAGAGACGGCGACGCAAGCAACGCCATTGAAGCAGCTGGAGAAGAAGAAGATGAAACTCTCTTCAGAGGCAAGAAATCGCAGCTAGGGTTAAGGATTCTGGAAGATAGCATCTCTTCTTGGGCAGTGCAAGTCGGCGTTTTGTGTTTTCAGTTTGATTGAGGAGACAGGCGAAGTGAACGAGGGAATGTGAAATGACGTGAGGTGGCCGGATAGGGATTTTATAAGAGATTCGATAAACGGCGTCGTAAAAGATACCGACGCTTAGCCGCTGTTCTCGGCCTGGGAGCGGCAGCCGGCTGTCGGAGGTCGAACGTTGTCGACACGTAATCAACAACAAAGAGTACAGTGCTCACCCGGCGAGAAGGGAGGGGTCTTCTTATACGTACGTGGAAAATGTGTTGCTTCTTCCACTGAACAATCTAAGCATGTGTCTTGGATTGATACGAAATATTGTAAATGTAAGTTTTTTAATATTTATTATGAAAAAAAA